AGTGTAGACTTCTAATGAATTATTGCAGCCATGGTATTGTGACTTTCATTCTTTATTTACATAACACACTGACCGTGTATGTCACTCAAAACTCTTACCAATAAACATTATATACAATAAACACAAACAATAAAAACAAGGCAAAAACTTTACAAACAATAACAGCTAAGAAGATAAATACTCAACACAAATAAACACCATCTTACCAAGTTACGATAACCAGCATCAGTTAAAAACTCAATTAACAGATAAAAAAAACAGGAACTTTTAGTCACACACCAAAAATTATTGAACTGGGGAATAATCAGCAAGACTATGAGGAAGAAGATCCCAGGGACAGATCTACTGTGGTTTACGATCTAGAGGAAATAAACACACTATAAAAACAATATATAAATGATCCACAAAGAGAAATTAAAAAAAAATACGAGATGTGTACACAAGTAGTGGAAAATATTTGCGCTTGTTTGTAAGAACATTCAATGATGGGAGGAAGATACTTCTGTGCAGGAAGGTATTTCTATATAGACCAGTCGACAACAAACACGGCCAAGGTTTACATGTAGAGATCCTACCTAAGAGGATCCTAAATATTCAACAGGGTGTACACACAAGAGGACTCCTAATATTTAAGAGGGTGTACAAACAAGAGAATTCCTAATATTCAAGAGGGTGTACCACACATCAAGAGGATCCCTAATATTTAAGAGGGTGTACACATAAGATAATTTCTAATATTTAATAGGGTGTACACACAAGAGAATTCCTAATATTCAAGAGGGTGTACACACAAGAGAATCCCTAATATTTAAGAGGGTGTACACACAAGAGGATCCCTAATATTTAAGAGGGTGTACACATAAGATAATTTCTAATATTTAAGAGGGTGTACACACAAGAGGATCCTAATCTACCACAACCTAATATTCAGGAGGATGTACACACAAGAGGATTCCTAATATTTAAGAGGGTGTACACACAAGAGGATTCCTAATATTTAAGAGGGTGTACACACAAGAAGATTCCTAATATTTAAGAGGGTGTACACACAAGAGGATTCCTAATATTTAAGAGTGTACACACAAGAGGATTCCTAATATTTAAGAGTGTACACACAAGAGGATTCCTAATATTTAAGAGGATGTACATAAAGGAATATATACCACTAAAGGCTTTAACATGAAGGACTTTTTGGTAGTAAAAGACAAGCGGAAAGGGAGGATAGTAAATATGAGACAGACGAGGCAGAGGATGTCTTTCTCTAGGGGATGACTATCCCTGAAAGGGATAGGAGAATGCTCTCCTCTTACCTACTTATATCCTCCCCAACCGCTACTCCCACACAAACCAACGATCCCCATCTCCAGCTTTACACAATCTTCCACAATTCTTTGGAACATCCTCACCTCCAACAACTAACATATTTCCCACAGCAACAAATCCACCATCTTAAACATCTTCTTTCCCCCAAACCCTATTCTCTAACCAGCATCAGGAAGGAGGATGGAGGTTGTTAAGGATGCATGACTGATACAGGAAGCAGTAGGAAGACTCAGACAAACTGCAGTAGTAGTCCAGCAAGTGGTGCTTATTGCAGGGTAATGAGAGCAACTGCAGAATAACGAAGCTGAAAAGCACTTACCTTGAAAAGGTGTGTGTGTGTGTGTGTGTGTGTGTGTGTGTGTGTGTGTGTGTGTGGAGAGGAGAGAGAGAGAGAGAGAGAGAGAGAGAGAGAGAGAGAGAGAGAGAGAGAGAGAGAGAGAGAGAGAGAGAGAGAGAGAGAGAGAGAGAGAGAATGAGAATTGTGTGTTCTTAAGTAATTCAGTAGGATTCCGAAACTATAAATCACACAAAAAATCAAACCAGACTTCATTAGCCTAACTGTTAATGTACTAGTACAGGTCTGTTAATTTACACATACATAAATGCTAGGTGACAAATACAGGTGTGTTAGTTCACACATACTGGTGTGTAAAAATACAAATAATTTAATATCCATAGACTGTGGGAATAAGACATGTGCTCAATCAAGGCATTTACTAATGGAGACGTTTCGGAGCTTTGGCTATATCATTACGAAGGCTGGCAACACCAAAAGTGGCGAAACGTTCCCTTCAATAAATGTCTTGATTAAGCACATGTGTTCTATGTCTACAACTGTGTTAATGTGCAGAGAGAGCCATCCACAAGCAGTGTTCCCATTGAGGTTATTACAGTGCTCTGAATCAGTGTGTTTACACACAGCAGCAGCACATGCAGTGTTTACACACAGCAGCAGCACATGCAGTGTTTACACTCAGCAGCAGCACATGCAGTGTTTACACTCAGCAGCACCACATGCAGTGTTTACACTCAGCAGCACCACATGCAGTGTTTACACTCAGCAGCACCACATGCAGTGTTTACACTCAGCAGCACCACATGCAGTGTTTACACACAGCAGCACCACATGCAGTGTTTACACTCAGCAGCACCACATGCAGTGTTTTACACTCAGCAGCACCACATGCAGTGTTTACACTCAGCAGCACCACATGCAGTGTTTACACCAGCAGCACCACATGCAGTGTTTACACTCAGCAGCACCACATGCAGTGTTTACACTCAGCAGCACCACATGCAGTGTTTACACTCCGACCACATGCAGTTTACAGCACACCACATGCAGTGTTTACACTCAGCAGCACCACATGCAGTGTTTACACTCAGCAGCACCACATGCAGTGTTTACACTCAGCAGCACCACATGCAGTGTTTACACTCAGCAGCACCACATGCAGTGTTTACACTCAGCAGCACCACATGCAGTGTTTACACTCAGCAGCACCACATGCAGTGTTTACACTCAGCAGCACCACATGCAGTGTTTACACTCAGCAGCACCACATGCAGTGTTTACACTCAGCAGCACCACATGCAGTGTTTACACTCAGCAGCACCACATGCAGTGTTTACACTCAGCAGCACCACATGCAGTGTTTACACTCAGCAGCACCACATGCAGTGTTTACACTCAGCAGCACCACATGCAGTGTTTACACTCAGCAGCACCACATGCAGTGTTTACACTCAGCAGCACCACATGCAGTGTTTACACTCAGCAGCACCACATGCAGTGTTTACACTCAGCAGCACCACATGCAGTGTTTACACTCAGCAGCACCACATGCAGTGTTTACACTCAGCAGCAGCCACATGCAGTGTTTAACACAGCAGCACCACATGCAGTGTTTACACTCAGCAGCACCACATGCAGTGTTTACACTCAGCAGCACCACATGCAGTGTTTACACTCAGCAGCACCACATGCAGTGTTTACACTCAGCAGCACCACATGCAGTGTTTACACTCAGAGCAGCCACATGCAGTGTTTACACTCAGCAGCAGCACATGCAGTGTTTACACTCAGAGCACACATGCAGTGTTTACACTCAGCAGCACCACATGCAGTGTTTACACACAGCAGAGCACACATGCAGTGTTTACACACAGCAGCAGCACATGCAGTGTTTACACACAGCAGCACCACTGCAGTGTTTACACACAGCAGCACCACATGCAGTGTTTACACACAGCAGCAGCACAGCGGTACATGAGCACTGCAGTGTTTACACTCAGCAGCACCACATGCAGTGTTTACACACACCCATGCAGTTACACAGCACCACATGCAGTGTTTACACACAGCAGCACCACATGCAGTGTTTACACTCAGCAGCACCACATGCAGTGTTTACACTCAGCAGCACCACATGCAGTGTTTACACACAGCAGCACCACATGCAGTGTTTACACACAGCAGCACCACATGCAGTGTTTACACTCAGCAGCACCACATGCAGTGTTTACACTCAGCAGCACCACATGCAGTGTTTACACTCAGCAGCACCACATGCAGTGTTTACACACAGCAGCACCACATGCAGTGTTTACACTCAGCAGCACCACATGCAGTGTTTACACTCAGCAGCACCACATGCAGTGTTTACACTCAGCAGCACCAACATGCAGTGTTTACACTCAGCAGCACCACATGCAGTGTTTACACTCACAGCACCACATGCAGTGTTTACACTCAGCAGCACCACATGCAGTGTTTACACTCAGGAACAGCACATGCAGTGTTTACACTCAGCAGCATCAGCAGTACATGCAGTGTTTACACTATGTGTATATGCAGTGTTTACACTCAACAGGCGTATATGCAATGTTTACACTCAGCAACAGGTGTATATGCAGTGTTTACACTCAACCACAGTGTATATACAATGTTTACACTCAACAACAGGGGTATATGCAGTGTTTATACTCAACAGGCGTATATGCAATGTTTACACTCAGCAACAGGTGTATATGCAGTGTTTACACACTCAACACACAGGGGTATATGCAGTGTTTATACTCAACAGGCGTATATGCAATGTTTACACTCAGCAGCATCAGCAGTACATGCAGTGTTTACACTATGTGTATATGCAGTGTTTACACTCATCAACAGGTGTATATGCAGTGTTTACACTCAACAACAGGTGTATATGCAGTGTTTACACTCAACAACAGGTGTATATGCAGTGTTTACACTCAACAACAGGTGTATATGCAGTGTTTACACTCAACCACAGGTGTATATACACTGTTTACACTCAACAACAGGTGTATATGCAGTGTTTACACTCAACAGTGGGTGTATATAGAGTAAGAAATTCATGCAGTAAACACCCAACAACAATCAGTGCCGTGCTCTGTGCTCCACCACCACCCACTGTGCCACGCCCACTTTCCCACGCCCATTCCTGCACGTCTACCCACCACGCTCACCCAAAAAAAGCGACATTAAGTTGCTTTTTCATTTACAGGCGATATGGCGTAGATGATTCGAAAGTGGTGTGGGCGTGTGATATCCTGTGGTATGGGTGATGTAAACATGAGCGTGCGGGTATGGGCGTGCGGGTATGGGCGTGCGGTCGTGGATCCACCTAAAAACTTTGCCCACGTCTTACCGGGAGGTGTTGCGTCTCTGCATGACTGAAGCCCGCAGCGTCCCGGGGGGCGGCGCCCCTATCCTCGCTGCCACTCAACCCCGACCTCCTCCTGAGGGCCGGAGATGCCCTGGGCGATGCCCCTGGGCACTCGTCATTGGGTCGGTGGCCTGGGTGGCCGGGGGCGCCGCCCCCGGCGTCCTGACGATTCCCGTCACGACGGCTGATGGAGGGACTCGGCTGGAGAGAAGGGGGGGCTGTGCCCCCGGGTGAATTGCGGCGGGGGGAGCGCGGGGACCCCTGGAGGGAGCATGACGCCCCTCGGAGGACACCCCCTGAAGCAGACGTCCCCCGAAGGACACCCACTGGGGACGCCGCACGCAGCTCATGAAAGATCTGGCGGGCGGGATCCGTGAAGGAGCGAGCAGGAGACCCCTCCTTCGCCGCCTCCTACAGAGAAGAACACTGCTAATACCCCGACTACCCAAAGGGTGGTGCCCACCCACGTCCTAGAGGCCTCACCTCAGCCAGGGCGTGGGCAGGCAGGGGCACCTCACTAATAAAAGCTGGTGCCACATTACCTGGACACATACAACATAAATCTAGTGACTCTTAAGAACCTCAATGAAAATACTCAGTGTGACATCAACATTTACACACACACACACACACACACACACACACACACACACACATAGTAGCGTAGTGCGGGTGTGTCACCGGCCGCAGCTTCTCTCAGAATGTGGGGCCAACGGTCGGTGCCAACCCCGACCGTTGGTCCCACATTCTGAGCGAAGCTGCGGCCGGTGATACACCTGCGTTATGCTAATCTGAAAAAAAATTCCCCTGTTTCAGTTACTGCCTTGCAACACTGCATGGTTCCTGATGACGCACTCAGAAGTGTGAGAGTATTTGAGCTAAAGATTTTCACACCCCGTGGCTTGTCTTGCATAGTTAAGATCGCCTGTGATTGTTTGCAATATATATATATATATATATATATATATATATATATATATATATATATATATATATATATATATATATATATATATATATATATATATATGCAATAAGATCACAGTAAACAGGTGATTTCAGAATATGCAAAACAACCACTGTGAAAGAATAGAGAAATTCCAAGCGCTTTCGTGACTACTCACATTATCAAGGAACATTGTTCCTTGATAATGTGAGCAGTCACGAAAGTGCTTAGAATTTCTCTATTCTCTCACAGTGATTGTTTTGCATATATATATATATATATATATATATATATATATATATATATATATATACAAACACACACACACACACACACACACACACACACACACACACACACACACACACACACACACACACACACGTGCGCAAAACAATAAGGGGGAGTTAAAAGATAGCTCTGAAACTTTCGTGTTTCAATCAACACATCAGGAGCTTGCAATGTTGCAGAGAAGAGGAGATCCAAGCAAATACGACCACAGGGAGCGCCTTTGCAAAGGCGCTCCCTATGATCGTTGCAAAGGCGCTCCTTGTGATCGTATCTGCTTGGACTTCTTCCTCTTTTCTCCAACACTGCAAGCTCCTGATGAACTATCATCAGGAGCTATCATTCAACTTCCCCCGTGGTTGTTTTGACACACACACACACACACACACACACACACACACACACACACACACATACATACTGCGCGTACATACACACACCTTCTTGGCCCTCTTCCTCCTTCGGAGTGAGCCTAGCATGACTGGGATCAGAGATGTGAAGGCGGTGGGCAAGAGGTAGGCTCACCGCCTCACGGCCTCCCTGGCATCACCCACACACCCACCACACGTGAACCACATGCTCTCACCTCTCCCTCGTCTCTACCCCGCCTCCTGCTGCCTGAGTTTCCTTCACGACGCACACACACTTTGTCTTCTATCTGTCTCCACATGTCAAGGACTGAGCTGAAACAGGAGGGAGGGAGGGAGGGAGAGAGAGGTGCCGTTGATGTTTCTCTTGTTCCGGGTATGTCAACTTGCCTTTTATGATGCAGAGCAGTAATGACATAACCCCGCAATACAACCACTCACGTAGGGCATAAATTATATACGACACCAACCTGTTGTGGCACCTACAGCTTTGACAAAGACTAAATATGGAAATAATTCACTAAGATTTTGTTGGAATATTCTACATTATATCTGCGTTATTTACCATACGTACACGTCTACAGTGATTCAGTATTTCTAGAACCACATTACAAATTTACCACACTGTAAAATCATATGAAGATTTTCTGAATATATCTCTTACGAGATATATTCAGGAGCCATGTAAACGTTGAATGTTTCTCTCTTTCTCTCTCTTGTGTCCTTATCACCTGGCTCTTAAAGTTTAATGTTTCCGTGTCCTTATCACACACACTCCCGAGTTTGGTGCTCGTAGCTTTCAAACAAACTTTTCTTCCACTCTCAGAGAGCAGCGCACACACTCTGGGTTCAAGGTTCGATGGAAGCGTTCATACGGCCTTTAGCTGGATAACTATAATACGACAAAAAATAATAATATTACTGGAAATGCCAGTGTTACAGCATGGTTAGGAGCAAAAAATAGTTGCTGTGTATGAGATATATAACTGCAAACTGAAGCGAGAACAAGATTATACAACAAGAAGCAGAAGTGTTTGGACTGCGCACGCACACGTGATATAACACGGAGAATGACCTTACAAGTCTAATAAAACATGATACATAAGGATGTACACAGTGGTTCCTACAACGGAGAAGACAGACAAACATAGACTGACGGACAAGGGTGGTCATGAGTAAAAATATTTGTGAAGGCTAAACTTTGTAACTAAGGCGAGAGTTGTGATGACACAGCACAGGAGGAAGAGGAGGAGGAGGCAACTTGATCAAACTGTTCAGAGTATACTGGACGATGTTAGTGCAAGTGGTATTTCTCTTAGCATAACCCAGTGTGGTCCTTCAAGTAGGGTGCCTCCTTCGTGCTCTTCAAGAAAGAGGTGAAGCTTGCTTTCCTCATCCATGAATCCAACTGATTACCTACACTTAAACAAGAACTATATGACGCCTATGAGTTTAACTCTAACCAACAACAACAATAATAATAATAATAATAATAATAATAATAATAATAAAAGTTTTCTGACCATTTACATAGAACAGTGTTAAAGTTTTCAGAGGTTTTAATACAACACATTTTCGGAATGATCAGTGTTAGAGATGAGCAGGCTGACCGTGGCCACGACAGCACCACCGTTGACCTCAGTGACAGTAATTGTGACACAGTGATGGAGGACTGTGTGTTGGTCGGGTGGAGGTGTGCTACCGCCGCGTCAGCTATACGTCATGTAGCGGTCACGCTATTTTTGATAATTTTGATGGAGATAACAGTTTCACAAATACAAACAAGATAATGATCATGCTTCATTAAACAGCCATTATGTCTAATCAATCAACAGATCAATCCAGGCTGCACATTCTTCGTTCCTCTGCTGTCAACTGCACGAGACGTAGCAGGGTGGGGAGAGCACCATATGGCATGTTTGTTTTTTAATTGAAAAAATGGGTACATCAGCAGTGTGCACCTACCGCATCATATATGACATGTTACACTGTGGAAACACAAGTTAATTATGCTTTCCTATCATATTCCATCACACGGGTTGGGTTACAAACAGGAAGTATTGAAATCTATCAGCCTGAGATGGGAGACTTCAATTGAGATAAAACGACATTCCACTGTGGGTTTAGTAAGAGACATCGAGGCCTGGTCATGGACCGGGCCGCGGGGGCGCTGACCCCGGGAACACCCTCCAGGCAATGGATTGGTGCTGGTATAGTGGTATTAACCAATAGTCGCAAATTTTTGATGCGTTTCTGACAATGTTTGTAGCAAATTCCTACATTCACGTTATCTAGGTTAATTATAGTTATACTGGCGCCTGTCAAACTACGTCTTGAACTGTCGTGTCAACCCAACCAGTGGTGGGGGAGGGAGGACATTAAGAGCCTATAACAAGGCTGACCCTAATTCAGGTGCAAGGCCCAGGGTGACGGTTGATTTTCTGACCACTGTTATTGCAAACGTTGCAATTTCTTGCACACCCTTCACTTTTTATATCATTAATTACATCACTTCTGCACCGCATAGAGCGGACACTACAGTTCCTGCTTCCTGCCCGGCCCCTGCCATAGATTCAACACCACCACCACTCACCTTCCCTCTCACAGGTTCAACATCACCACCACTCGCTGTCCTTCTCACAGGTTCAACACACCTACCTTCATCACCTGATCCCTCTCACAGGTTCAACACCACCACTCACTGTCTCACAGGTTCAACAACACCACTGTCTCTCACAGGTTCAACACCACCACTCACTGTCTCACAGGTTCAACAACACCACTGTCTCTCACAGGTTCAACACCACCACTCACTGTCTCACAGGTTCAACAACACCACTCACTGTCTCTCTCACAGGTTCAACACCACTCACAATCTCTCTCACAGGTTCGACAACACCACTCACTGTCTCTCTCACAGGTTCAACACCACTCACTGTCTCATACGTCCAACAACACCACTCACTGTCTCTCTCACAGATTCAACACCACTGACTCACGAAATCGTAATGACACGATTGCAAACAAACTAGCTGGTCTAGTGGCTAACGCGACGGGCTGGAGTTTTGAGACTGACCGCGGGTTCAATCCCAGCCGGGGTATGGTTTTTTTCAACACCACTCACTGTCTCTCATAGGTTCAACACCACCACTCACTGTCTGTCTCACAGGTTCAACACCACCACTCACTATTCCTCACACACGTTCAACACCACCACTCGGCTATAGACCCAAGGCAATTACCATATAAATATTTACGACCCATCGACGGAGTCCCTAATCGAGTCATCAACTGATTAACGCCCAACCAAGAAGAAGAAGAAGAAGAAGAAGAAGAAGAAGAAGAAGAAGAAGAAGAAGAAGAAGAAGAAGAAGAAGAAGAAGAAGAAGAAGAAGAAGAAGAAGAAGAAGAAGAAGAAGAAGAAGAAGAAGAAGATTGTATAACAAGTAGGAGAAGAATAAGAAGGATTAGCAGAAATATCATAAGGAAAGAATGGAAGGATGATACACTTCCAGGACTGTCTTACACTGTATATACTTCCAGGACTGTCTTACACTGTATATACTTCCAGGACTGTCTTACACTGTATACACTTCCAGGACTGTCTTACACTGTATACTTCCAGGACTGTCTTACACTGTATATACTTCCAGGACTGTCTTACACTGTATATACTTCCAGGACTGTCTTACACTGTATATACTTCCAGGACTGTCTTACACTGTATATACTTCCAGGACTGTCTTACACTGTATATACTTCCAGGACTGTCTTACACTGTATATACTTCCAGGACTGTCTTACACTGTATATACTTCCAGGACTGTCTTACACTGTATATACTTCCAGGACTGTCTTACACTGTATATACTTCCAGGACTGTCTTACACTGTATATACTTCCAGGACTGTCTTACACTGTATATACTTCCAGGACTGTCTTACACTGTATATACTTCCAGGACTGTCTTACACTGTATATACTTCCAGGACTGTCTTACACTGTATATACTTCCAGGACTGTCTTATATTGGATATACTTCCAGGACTGGTGTTTCTTACGTGTGTTTATATTGGTAGTAGCTGTGAGTTGAGAGAGGTGGTAACTATGTTGGTAGCTGTGGTAGGTAAATGTGCTGGTAGTGGTAGCAGGATGTGAGTGTGCTGGTAGTGGTAGCGGGATGTGAGTGTGCTGGTAGTGGTACGGGATGTGAGTGTGCTGGTAGTGGTAGCGGGATGTGAGTGTGCTGGTAGTGGTAGCGGGATGTGAGTATGCTGGTAGTGGTAGCGGGATGTGAGTATGCTGGTAGTGGTAGCGGGATGTGAGTGTGCTGGTAGTGGTAGCGGGATGTGAGTGTGCCGGTAGTGGTAGCGGGATGTGAGTGTGCTGGTAGTGGTAGCGGGATGTGAGTGTGCTGGTAGTGGTAGCGGGATGTGAGTGTGCTGGTAGTGGTAGCGGGATGTGAGTGTGCTGGTAGTGGTAGCGGGATGTGAGTGTGCTGGTAGTGGTAGCGGGATGTGAGTGTGCTGGTAGTGGTAGCGGGATGTGAGTGTGCTGGTAGTGGTAGCGGGATGTGAGTGTGCAGGTAGTGGTAGCGGGATGTGAGTGTGCAGGTAGTGGTAGCGGGATGTGAGTGTGCTGGTAGTGGTAGCGGGATGTGAGTATGCTGGTAGCGGGATGTGAGTATGCTGGTAGTGGTAGCGGGATGTGATTGGTAGTGGTAGCGGGATGTGATTGTGCTGGTAGTGGTAGCGGGATGTGAGTATGCCGGTAGTGGTAGCGGGATGTGAGTATGCTGGTAGTGGTAGCGGGATGTGAGTATGCTGGTAGTGGTAGCGGGATGTGAGTATGCTGGTAGTGGTAGCGGGATGTGATTGGTAGTGGTAGCGGGATGTGAGTGTGCTGGTAGTGGTAGCGGGATGTGAGTGTGCTGGTAGTGGTAGCGGGATGTGAGTGTGCTGGTAGTGGTAGCGGGATGTGAGTGTGCTGGTAGTGGTAGCGGGATGTGAGTGTGCTGGTAGTGGTAGCGGGATGTGAGTGTGCTGGTAGTGGTAGCGGGATGCGAGTATGCTGGTAGTGGTAGCAGGATGTGTGTGTGTTGGTAGTGGTAGCAGGATGTGTGTGTGTTGGTAGTGGTAGTAGGATGTGTGTGTGTTGGTAGTGGTAGTAGGATGTGTGTGTGTTGGTAGTGGTAGTAGGATGTGTGTGTGTTGGTAGTGGTAGCGGGATGTGAGTAGGCTGTAGTGGTAGCGGGATGTGAGTGTGCTGGTAGTGGTAGCAGGATGCAAGTGTATTGGTAGTGGTAGCGGGATGTGAGAGTGATGGTAGTGGTAGTGGGATGCGAGTGTGCTGGTAGTGGTAGCGGTATGTGAGTGTGTTGGTAGTGGTAGTGGGATGTGAGAGTGCTGGTTGTAGTTGCGGTAAGTGTGTGTGCTGCTAGAGATGGTTCGATATGTTATTTACTGCTAACTAACATATATTGTTCAGCCAATCAGTCAGCATCTGTTGTAAGCCACCAATCACGGCGTAGTGATCGAGGTTCACACAGTCACAACACATGCACTGAGTGGCAATGGACATAATCCACGGTGTCTGGTTTTACTGGGTTATGCTAGGAAAATCTACATAATGTACTATGCTCAATAATAATCCACATGGAGACATAAACTCAGGAGACTAATCTTCATGTATCGATCACCTTCAGCAGAGGATCCAAGAACGGGATCGAAATATACAGATCAATCTCTTTAGTTTCTCCCCCCGTGGTTGTTTTGCATCTTGTATCGCTTGTTCGCGATTTTTGCATAATGTACTATATATATGTATCCATAACATGTACTCCTATGTGCCCTCAAACCATTATTACATTGCCATAAAAACCAATTTTCACAC